ATTTATTTAATTTAATAATAATAAATAAATATTGAAGTATGGGGGTTGGGGATCTTCCAAATAAAACCTGACTGGGCCCTTTACAACTAGGCCGACATTGTAGGTAGGTAATTCACTCTAATAATTTAAATGGAACTTTTCTACTTTACCGGACACCCTTTTTTTTGCAATTTTTTTTTTTTTGAAACAAATGTAGTTAAACACGCTGAAAACGATGGTGAAGTCCAAATTTGGCGCAGGGACTTAGTTTTGATGTTATGGCCTTATGAAGTTCGCTATTTTGCGATTTCCACGCATTTGCGCAACACAGAACACTATAGTTTACCTCGCGCCTACTACGAATATTGATATTTTTTTTTTCGATAAGTGCCTTAAAACTTGTAATCACTGCTTGTAAGTAGGAAACATGAACTACTACACAGGACTGGACACTACAGAGAAAATCACGGACACAAAGTTGTACAAGGTTCGTACACATGCGATGTAACTGCACTCTGCCTGTTAGTAGTACGAACTACGTTTTTTATAGGATAACACTAAAGAATAGTGATATTAGTGATAATAACTGATAATAAATTTACTTTTTAATTTTTGAAAAACAATTATTAATAACACAATTCAAGATAATAATGATACTATTTATAGAATATTATCAGAATATAATTACTGCTTAAAGAGTGAACAGTTTAAGCATGAACTACTAAGGCGGTATTTTATATAACAAAATATTTCTTATCTCACAGATGGCGCTGTGTCGCATGTGTACCGAATATGTACAACTTTGTGGACGACCCCCTACTCTCCTCCTGCCAATAGTGTCCAGTCCTGTGTAGTAGTTCATGGTAGGAAATCTAGAAAAAACAGTGATGCCACATAGCAAGAAAAAAGAAATTTGTAAAAATGAGTTACTTCTTTCTTCATCGGGGGAGTCGATAATATGACAATAATTATTATTATATTAGTAGGACATATTCTTTACTGGCGCGAAAACATTGAATTTCATTTTAAACATTCTATACTATGGAGATGCAGACGGGCAGACGAATGACCTAACATGTAATTTTAACCTTGTTAGTTAAAGTATCCCAAGTATAGTGGCTCTGGTCTTCAAACTCAAGGGACCTCGCTCCCGTCGCCTATCGGCTCCGGTCGCCATTTAGAGTAACATACGTCTATAGAAGCTCCCTACGCCTGCCGGCTCCGGTATCCAGGAAGCCTATATGTATAACAATAATAATGATTCATCCAACTAGGTATTCATCCAACAAATATAAATAATTAAACATATAATTTAAACATTATAGTATAACCTCTTGCCAGTCATTGAAGTCAAGATTGAAATTTTGACCACAATAGGAAATCGCTTTGGCTAATGAATTTGAAAACAATTGTGCCGCTAAACTAACACTCTGCTTTTTAGGTCCTGGTATATTTATATGAGTGTTTGTAATTTTATAAGGAAGTCTTAAATCATTTTTATTTAAATTTAATACTTTTTCAACAACTTGCTTTCCAATAAACTTATTCTTGTTAAAAAATATAATTTATCATTATATTACTAAGGGCTTAGGGCACATGATTATATAACATCACATTATTGTTTGATTTACCTATTTACAAAATGATTTCTTGCCAATTTTATCAAATGTGGAACATCTGCGAATATATATATATTTTATTCTTTGTTTCAGGATGATCAAAATAAGTTTTATTGATTGATATCCCCAGTGAATTCCATAAACTCACATTTGTTGGACCCATATCACTTACGGTTGAGACAACATTGTAACCACTCTGGTGTAATGCAGTAATAATATTAAATAAAATATCCTTTCAGTTGTCTCCTCACAGTCTTGGCGTACAGACGTGTTTTCGTGGTGTCGTTGTTACTATATTATCTTGCTCAGTATTATCGCTCCTTATCTTAGTTTGTTTGTCAATTATGCCGTCGTCTTCGGGCGGCACAAATCGTGCCGGCCAAAATAATATTTCAAACTAACACAAAAATCAACATGTCAAAAACATTTCCAGCCCCGGTTACTTGCAGGTTGTCGGCAAAAACGGTAAGCCAATCAAAGTTACTTCTTGTCCAATCTCACCAAGTCTTCAACAAATTATGGATAACCCGCCGACTCTAGATATATCCAGCTCTGCATTTAACCATAGCTCCTTATCTACACAAATTGCAATTACGTCGGGGTCTACGTCTATCGATATGGATGTTAACTTTAATGATTGTCCTAATGAGCTTGATACTGGCTCTACGTCTTCTTCACTTAATAATACTTCAATCTACTTTCCTAACTAATAGCGATATATCCAACACTAACATACATATAAACATATTACAAAAGTCGTTTTCACCTGATTATATCGGATCTATAACTATTCTCGTTGAAAGTATGGACACTAATATTAACTTAGGAAACTGGCATCCTACTAAAGCCGACAAGTTTTTCACTAACAATTTCCCTGGTATTACCAACATTAAACCTGCGGGTTCAAAAAAAATCAAAATTTCCTTTGACACAATTATTAATGGTAATTGCTGCTTGAATTCAAACATTTTAAATGAGAATAACTATAATGCTATTATACCCTCTACGCTAATATTTTCCTACCGAATAATAAAATTAGACACTACAGTCTCAGAAGCCAAATTTTTTGAAGTCGTCCGATCCTCAGTCAAGATTAACGCATTCAAACGCATCAGTATCAAAAAAGATGATAAAATCATTCAAATCCGTATAGTTGAACTTAAATTCGTCGCCTCAAAAATAACATTCATAATCTCCGTATTCAACATGATTTTTGATGTAAAACCCAGTGTCCGGTCTCCTATTCAATGTAATCGATGTTTACGTTTCGGACATACACAAAAATATTGTCGTAGCGGTCCCAGGTGCAGTCATTGTGGTGAAAACAATCACTCGGTTGATTCATGCCCACGCGTCTGATCCTGTATGTCTCTTCTGCAAGCAACCCCACTTAGCCACTGATCGTAGTTGCCGGGAATGGTCCACTCAAAAAGAAATCAAACACAATATCATGGCCACCTAAAATATTTCCTATAAAGATGCCTTAACTTTTAAAAAAAATAATTGTTACACTACTGCTTTTTATTTTTCCGATGTTGTTAAGAGTCAGCCTCCAATTTCTGAAATATTAAAACCAAATGTCTCCCTAGAGGAAGAAAATTTCCCCAAGTTAAATGATTATCATCATTATTTCAATTCCAGGAAGACAAAACAAAAATCTAGAAAATAAAATCTAAACCGAGTAATAAAGACAAATTTAATTTATCAGTCAAACCTAATTTTTCTTCTCCCAACGGTAGCTGTTTAACCAATCTCCCTAACCAAAGCTTCACTGCAGAAAATAACTCTACTGACTTATCTTGGGTACATTCTCTTTCTTTGAAACTATCTGAATCTCTTATTAATTCCCCCTCCCCACTTTCCCCTTTCTCTCCCGCTTCTCGTCAATCCCTAATTGATTCTTCTTTAAATTCACTTCTTAATATTCCAGTTTCTAGTTTCTGATTAGTCTTGCATTTTACACCAAAGGTCTTCACCACAGTCATAGTGAATACTAATGACTTTTGACTTCAAAACTACACTTATAACAATAACAAATTAAATATAATTAATAAAATTACCATGGCATCTTTACAAAAAAATTATAATCTGAATATCCTTAATAATTTCACCATTATTCAGTGGAATGTGAGAAGTCTTCCTACACGTCTCCCATCCCTACAACACCTTTTATCCTATCACAAATTTTCAATCGCTCTTCTCTCCGAAACCTGGCTCTTAAACTCACGATCCCTTACAATTCCGCTATTCAAAACCTATAGATCAGACCGCTCTGCTGGCTATGGTGGTGTAGCTCATAACTCCCTCAAATCCAATCAAATTCCTTTAGATATCGCCATCAGAAATAGATTTAATTTATCCACCATAAAATTGACATCATAGGTATCGAAGTGCATCTAGCCAACTCACACCCTCCTTTAAAATGTTGGTCCTGTTACATCCCCATTAATTCCAATGTTCCTTCCAATCTATGGCGTGAATTCTTTAACCTAATATCGCATAATACGCTGCTTGGTGGCGATTTTAATGCATTTCATTCCGCTTGGGGCTCTGAACTTGCATCCGGCCGTGGTTCTCAGATCTATGATTGCATCAACTCATTTGGACTTTGTTCTCTCAACGATGGTAGTCCTACACATGTGCTTCGCCCCAACTCAACTAACTCGGCAATTGACTTATCTTTTTGTTCCCCTGATATCATCTGGTATCTATCTTGGCAAGTCCTCAACGATCCTCCCTGTAGCGACCATATCCCCATTATCATAACAGCTAATTTCAATAGGTCCACCGATCCTGTGCCATCTAGTCCAGCCCTGGACTCTTCATCTGCATTTCACTTACCTTTCAATTTCAATAAAGCTAATTGGTCATCGTACTCTCTCAAAATTCAGAACTCTATCTCTTCACTGATAAATTCTACCTCTCCAGTTTTTTCCTATTTTACCTTTACTAATATCATAAACATCTCTGCCGATTCTACAATTCCATAGAAAAGATTAAATACTAACCCATATCCACCCTCCCCTCCTTGGTGGAATTCTGACTGTTCTGAAGCTGTCAAAAACAGAACCCTTTTTTTTAGAATCTTTCGTCCCTCAGGCTCCATGATCGACTTTATTAATTATCGTAACACTTGTGCCCAAACCACCAGGCTATTAAAAAATGAAAAGAGGAAAAAATGGAAAAATTTTTGTTCAAATCTAAATCCTTCCTTCACCATACACCACCTTTGGTCAACAGCTAAGCGCTATAAAAATTGCATCAACCCTGCCCAGATAATGACGATGGTTCGACTCCTTTTGTTCTAAAGTCGCTCCGTGCTATGTCGCTTCTATATCAGAGTGTTGACCTCCCGACCACTCTCTATACTCTCCACCTCACGTTCTCACTAATGTTTTTACTATGTCAGAATTAAACTTAGCCATATCTTTACGGAAATCTACCGCGTCTGGTCTAGACAACATATCACCTATTATGCTAAAACACCTTCTTTCAAATGCTCTGGCTTACCTTTTATCTATTATGAACAATATTTTATCATCCAATCAGGTTCCTCCTTCATGGACATCCTATCGTGTCATCCGTATCCCCAAACCTAATTCTAATGATTCTTTTCGTCCAATTGCTCTCTTCCTCTCTTTGTTCGGATTAAGTACAACAATATGTAATGCAGTGCCGTAACTAGGCTACTTGAGGCCTGTGTGCAAACCAAAATATTGAGGCCCCTTATTATCTTTTTCAATACACAACTCAAAAACTTTTTTTGCAATTTTTAAAGTCAGCAGACAAAAAAACCGGTCGACAATTCTGCCGATTTTTTTGTATTCAGAAGGGCCAGTTCTATAGACCATAAAAAAATTAGGTTGTACAATAAATAAATTAACAATACAATTCAGCCTAATTGAAAATATAATTTATTGTGATTTAAATAGGTAAGTTGGGAATTTCAATCTTGAAGTGGTTGAAAAATTGCAATATTTTATGGATATGGCAGAGCTTGCAAACGTTATAATAACATTATGATTATTGATTATAACGTTTTATTTTTTACAAAAAACGATACATGTTTGTAAACGTAATTATAACGGAATGCGATAATCAAAAATAATTAAAAACAGCATAACAAAACATATAAAACGGTTTTAAATTCTTAAACTACATAGCGCTAGCGTTTTAACTTTCAAAACGGGTTGAGTATAAACCGTTTTAACGCCATCATATAAACCTAGTAATTTACTAGGTTAAAAAATAAATAATAAATAATTTATATATTTTAATAATTTTATATTAGTTTAATATTAGTCTTTAGATCTTCTGAGGCCCTTCGATATATTATGGGGCCCGAGGCCTGTGTGTGGTACACACTCTGCACACCCGGTTTTTACGGCACTGTATAAAACGCAATATAGGTACACCCCAACACATACACAAAAAATAATAATTGTAAAATCGCAATACGCATTGGTCGCGTTCCGTTCTGAATCTAAAAATCTTATAGGTACCTACAAAAGTATAAAGCGAGTATATATATTATATATACGACAGTATAGTAATATAATGCAGATCGACATATAAATCCTCTTTAAAATATTATAATACAATTATTATAGTGTACCTCTGCGTAAGTATATACAGTTAGAGTCGGTATACCAATAATAGTCGTAATAATGGCATTTGGAAAAATTAACGGGCCCGAAATCCAGCTGATGCCGGCCGTCGATTAATATAATAATATGCTGGCTACTAATAAACGATGTTTGTTTAAAATCATCGTCGACGGCCCAGGAATAAATACCGAAATCGGCACATTTGCAACTCTGAGCTCATCTGAGTATATAATCTGACCTAACCTTACGCGGACAAAAAAAAAACCTGAACGAAAAAATGGCTGCATCGCATATCGAAGAAAAGGAAATGGAAACAACTATCATGCAAATCTTGGGAAAAATAATAAGCAACGTCGAGTACGAGATTATGGAAGAAGAACTTAAACGAATAGACGACATCGACCAAGAGCCTACCATCGGAGACCTGGAAGGACTTTTATCGTATGCGACGCGCTTCGCGGGGGACGACTACGTCCCGTCCAACGTCTTTCAACCGGTCGACAAATCTGACAAAATGGCAGAACCGGTTGAACCGATCGTTGAAGTGGTCGCGCCTCCGGTGCAGGAAGCCGCGAAAAAGGAGCTGGATGGCGAGGCGGTGGGCGCCACACCGGCCAGAGGACTGGAAGTCAGAAATAGTATCGGGATCTTGATTGGTTGGCTGGACCCGGGGGTCAAGGCAGAAACACGCGCAGCTCCGCGCAGTGCAACGGCGAGACTGGTGTCCTCTGCGTGGAGAGGCCTGACGAGAGCCGCACGCGTGTTGCGCTGTTGTTGTCCCCCGAAGTGAAACCGTCCAAAAGTTTCCCCCCTGGCCGAGGGCAGCGGACAAGACGAGGCGACGTGTGGGGTTTCGAGGTAATAGGTACGCGGCAGTGCACATTCAGGTGGTGACCGGCGGTAAGTCGCCGATACACGTTCTCCGGCCATCCTGCGGCAGCGCGACGGGATCGCGGACGTTGCGAGCTCGAGGTCGCCGAGACACGCGAGACCCTCTGGCGGCGCGGCGGGCGCCCGGCTGCTTCGGTCCGGGAGCGACGACGACACGACGACGACGGAGGTTAGCGGTACCGGCGCGGACAACGACGCCGTCCCCGACACGGTACATGCTCAGTGACGAACGCTGCAGTGCTGCGCGACTCGCGTGACGGCGGCGACGGAGACCTCAGAGCTCACGGTGGGTGAGTGACGGATGACTATGATTACAGGGTATAGCTAGGAACGCCACGGACGTCAGCAGCGCCGGGCTCGAGGAAACGAAACGTTTCGTCGGGTTCGACGGTGCGCGGCTCCGTGGCCATCGGCTGCGGCAGACGGAGACGCCAGGGCGAAAATCACAGAGACTATCAGGACAGCGGCGCGTCGTCGCGAAGCTGTCTGCAGATTTTCTCCCTTTTTCGCCCAGTGGTCCGATCCCGAGTCGCAACGCCGCCGATTCCGCAGCTGCACCGAGATCGTAGTCGCCAGCTCGCCTCTCCGAGCTTTGCAGGTCACCGTCGTTGCCGGCACAAGCAGTCGTCTTCAGCACCCGCAGTACCGTCAAGCAGCGCACGACATCGCGCACTAGCCTCTCGTCGCCAATCGTCGTCGCTCTCGCAGCCGTCGTGGCCGGGCTTCGTCCGCTGCCATGGTCGTCTTGGCGGTCTCGAGCAAACTCGCCCGCGACTCTCGTCCGCCCCGCAGGACAGCCCGTGAGAACGTTGTAGAGGTGACCAGTGGCCATATACCAGTTACCAATACATCATCAGCACCACCAACTCGCCACCACGTACCCCCCCACATCGCGTCGTCTTGACCGATGCCTTTTTTTTTTGTATTTAAATTTTCTTTACTTATATCGAATAATATTCACTTTACAAATTTCGGCTTTTTCTTTTTTGTTCTAACTTTTTTTTGAACATACAAAATTGTATAATAATATAACGGCAACCGTTTCCAAAATTGTTTCCGTTTTTGAAATTATATTCAAAATTAAAAAATGTTATATTGTTTTTGTTCGATAATTAAAAATAAATTTGTGAACACAAAAAACTATTGTTGCTTTTTTCGTATTGTCGAGTGTGTAAGTCAATTTTTACAATATAATAAAATATTGACTTTAGTTGTAATAATATTCTAAACTGAACAAATCTTGTAACAGATATCTATTACTGTACTCAGTGCCGTAACTAGGCTACTTGAGGCCTGTGTGCAAAACCAAAATATTGAGGCCCCTTATTATCTTTTTCAATACACACCTCAAAAACTTTTTTTGCAATTTTTAAAGTCAGCTGACAAAAATTCGGGCTTAAACAAAAAAAAATGTTTAATTTAAAATAATCTATAATATTTTAAAACAATTTCTCAAGGCTATAACTAACTCAAAAAAGTAAAAATTGTCCAAAATGTAATTTATTGAAAATATTAATATAAATATTTGGTGAAAACTTCAATGGTCTACGGTTATTAGTTTTCGAGTTAGACCAAAAAATAAAATTTTTAGTTTTAGGTAAAAATGACAATTTTTTTTTTTTTTATTGACACTTTTTAATATCTAAAACTAAAAATTTCGGTTTCGATATCCAAAAAGTACCAACTAGATTCACTTTTCTAACAGAAAAAATGCTGATCTCGAAATTCGGAATATTTTTACTACCCATTGTTGATGACCGACAGAAATGAAAAAAATTATACACATCTTGTAAAATCAATACATTTGTTCGTTCCTCTCAATTGGTTTGAAACATTGGTTTCGTTTCCAAATCAATAATAAATAATTTATATATTTTAATAATTTTATATTAGGTTAATATTAGTATTTGGATCTTTTGAGGCCCTTCGATATATTATGAGGCCCGAGGCCTGTGTGCGGTGCACACTTTGCACACCCGGTTTTTACGGCACTGATGTAATGATTGGGAGAATTACAAGAAATAGGTAACTACGAAATTATGTTATATATTAACATATTACCTTTTTGATTCTTCTTCTTCCTCTTCTTTAGTTAATTAATTATAAAACACATATTTTCAAATAATAAAAACCTTTTTTTATTGGTTACAACTTTTGAGTTTATTTATTTACCATACGACATTTACAATTTAATACAAAACACATTCGTGGTCGGAAAAACACTGACCGCCGGATAGGTATTGACCAGCCTCCTTATATGTGATATTTTGTGTGTGTGTGTGTGTGTGTGTGATGTAATTATATCTGATGTAATATTTAATATTACATTTATAGTCTTAATTCTAAATGTCATTAATTAAAGTTATTATATAAATTGATGTGAATTATAATCAATCTATTGTAATGAATATAATTTGATTTCTTATTTTAATTTTTAAATGTTGTCTGAATAATATGTATAATTATGATGCATATGATCTTTTAATTTAAATGGCGTTTGATAAGTATAATTAATACATATGTAATTAAATATGATATTTATATATTATATATATATCATTACAAATAAAAATGGCAGATATGGCCGCACTAATTAGTCGGCGTGGTCAATTAAAAGGTCAGCTTACCCGATTAAATACATACGTTAAAGATTTAAATGGCGTTGAGTTAGAACAGCTAACCATTCGGAGAGAAAAGGCTAACATCGTATGGAAAGATTTCGAGGAAGTACAGACGCAAATTGAGGAAGAGAATGGAATGTCAACAGAAAACGAAACATATAGGTCAGAGTTTGAAGAATTATATTTCTTGTGTGTTGTGACAAAATTATAAAGAGTTTATCGAGCAACCGTAATGACAGTGAACAAAAAGTTATGCAGGATAACCCTCCACACAGCAACGCTCAATTCGTCTCTCCAGCAATAACATTAGCAGCACTCGAAATCCCCAATTTTTCTGTCGATTACATGGAATGGTCATCTTATCATGATATATTTACATCACTAGTACACAACAACGATTGATAGATGATGTTCAAAAATTCTTTTATTTACGTGCATCGCTAAGTGGTGAAGCGGAGAATTGCGTGCAGTGTATGCAAACTACGTCCGAAAATTATCATAAGACTTGGAAAAGTTTGGTTGATCGGTATAGCAATAAAAGGGTATTAATAAAGATACACACAAAGTCATTATTTAATCTAGAACCGGTCAAAGACGAGTCAGCAGAGCGATTAAGGAAACTACATGGCTCGTTATCGGGACATTTTAAAGCACTCGAAACACTTGGTAAAAATCCAAGGTCATGGGGATCATTAATTCTATATCTGATAACTACGAAATTAGATCCAATTACACTGGAAAAATAATGGGAAACTGAAACACATAAATTAACAGTCATATCAGTAGACAGACTTCTCGAGTTTTTGCAATTAAGGTTCAGAATGTTAAAAGCGATTGAATCGGTTGAGAGCATCAATACGAATACAGTTCCAAAACATACACGAGAACTAAAAGCAAAAAGAGATGTTTATAAATCTACTTCGTTGTTAACCACCAGAAAACTCAAATTTTATGTTTGTAAATTATCGCACACGATTTATAGGTGTCCGGTATTTTTAAATCTGTCAATTTTCGACTGAATAAAAAAGATCGATGAACTCAAATTATGTAAAATTTGTTTACATTCCCATCATGGGGAAAAATGTAAAAGTCGTAATTGTCCTAAATGTACCCGTCCTCACAACGGGTTGTTGCACATAACGAGCCAGAACCGTTTCGATAAGACAGAGGACCCAGTTACGTCGTCGAGTATTTCGAGTATTGACAATCGCTTAATTAATAAAGATAAAGAAGTTATGCAGCTGTTAACGAGCGTTAGTGGACACTTGACACGCATCATATGAAGACGTACAAAGGCAGGTGTTATTATCCACCTCGGTGATATTCACCCATAATAATTCAAATGAAAAAACTTATTGTCGAGTATTACTAGATTCAGGATCACAAAATAATTTCATAACTGATTGGATGGCCAAACATCTACAGTTAAAAAAAAAAAATAGATTATTCAATAAGCGGAATCAATCAGTCAAGCCATAGCGCGTCAAATCAAGTTTATCAAAATATTTTTCGAATTAATTTTCGCAGGTCAAGTCAGACCTACACTACACGGGCCAACATTTCAAAAAGCTGTGTTCGGTTTTATCATCGCGGGAATCCGTTTTTGGTCAAATAAAACATGAACGCTTTGGAAATAAATGTGTATCACTGTTTAGTAGCAACACTAGTTCAATAACAGCCAATTCGGAAAAGCAAATCGCCATGTGTCAGCGCTTGGAGGAAATACATGACAATATTTAATCGACCGAAGAAAAAACTGCCAAAATCCATTTCGAAAAGACGATATAGCGCACCAGACAATCGATTTATCGTTTCATTACCGTTTCGAGACGAGTCAAAACTAGGGAAATGGCATGATATCGCGTTACGTCGAATTTTGAGTTTAGAAAGATTTCTGTCAGCCGATAATAATCTTAAAATTGAATATACAAACTTTCTAGACGAATATTTATCATTTGGTAACATGGAAATTGTGCCACTTGAAGAACTCGTTGTTTACGTACTATACAATATTATCTACCGCACCACTCTGTTATCAAAGAAAGTAGTAGTACGGCGACTAAAGTGCGCGTAGTGTTTGATACTGATACAAAAGTGACACCGGCGTTAGTTTGAACGATGTTCTGTGTAAAGGCCCCTGTATTCAAGAAGATCTAGTATGTATAATGACTCAGTTCCGAACACATAAATACGTAATTTCTGCCGATATAGTAAAAATGTATAGACAAGTTTAGATATCTGAGCAAGACCACGATTATCGACGAATTTTATGGCGTTCGAACCCTGAAAGAACAATACAAATTTATCGGTTAAAAACCATTACATATGGAGTAGTTACAGCCTCATATTTGGTGACAGGTTGCCTCTGAAAACTATCAGAAGAAGAGTGCGGTCGTTACCCGGCCGCCGGCCGCGCAATCGGACAAGATTTCTACATGGATGACTTGTTGAGCTGCACCGATACGAAAGAAAACGCAATACAACTACCTAATGATATTATAACGATATTAAACAGCGCGGGTTTCGAATTAAGTAAGTAGTCAAGCAACGCGTCGGAACTAGTACACGGATTATCCAAGATAGACTCTAAAATTGACTGTGAAAATAAATCGAGTAATACACAAAAAATTAGGAAACTTTTGGCATTTTTTGGAACCAAGAAAACGACTCATATCAATACAAAGTCGATAGATATCAAAATAACGCGCTAGTTACAAAACGAAACGTTCTAGCAGAAATCGCATCAGTTTTCGACCTGTTAGGCCTGATAAATCCAATAACCGTTCGTTTGAAATTAATCATGCAAAAATTATGACGAATTAACATAGGCTGGGACGAATCGCTACCAACGGACTTGTTGAATAAGTGGAGAAAAATCGGGAAGACTTGGAGTCAATAAACTTGTTGGTAATAAACCGTCTAATAATCAATTCAAATAAAGGTTCTAACTTCTAGTGTTCAAATACATGGGTTTGCAGATGCATCATGCATCTATTAGTGCTTACAGAGCTTGTCTGTATATACGCACTCACAATGAGGATGGTATTATAACGAACAATTTAATATGCACTAAATCACGTGTTGCCCAATTGAAAGTAGTTACGTTACCGCGCTTAGAACTATTAGCAGCCGTGTTATTAACCCGTTTGGCTTCGAAATATATACCCTGTTTGCAACTGCACATAAAAAATACATATTATTGGACAGACTCAACTATTGTATTAGTTTGGATAGCAAAAGACAGAATTATAACTGCTAACATTGACAGTGTCATAATATAAGGGCAGAAATTCCTGAGAATGAATTTGACTCTTTTCTTTATGACATTGTAAAGTCTACTATGATTCACAGTCCATCTGGGACTTTGAACAGAAACTCACCATGCATGCTCAATGGTTCATGCAGCAAAACATATCTCTGTTCACTTTCCAAGGACACGCTCTGATGACGAATATCCTCAGTATTGAAGGCGGGCTCCATCTAATGATGGTTTCACATTAACGTTTAACTATGCAACTTTGTAAAGTCTATAAAGTACATATCCAAGTACGTAAAGAAATAAAGTGACCAAGTAGCATTTTGTCTAAAAATATTTTTACTAAAACCCAGTTTTTCAAAAAAATCGATTTTGTTTTTAATGTAACTAAAAAAAATAACGGAATATTGATGATATGTTCAATTAATTTTTATATTAGCAATTTCACATACCAATGCACCATACCATTTTTGGAATATAGTGCCTATTTTTAAGCAATATAGGCATATAAGTTTGAATTTTATTAGTTTTTTTTAACTATTGCCGATACAAAATTTTTCGGTCGGTCAAAAAAGTTAAAAATGTAATACAACGTTCCTCATAAGCAGTTGTTAGTGGAAATTAAAAAATAGTTGAGCCTTAAACCACAATAACTTTGTATGAGAGTTTAAAATTAGAATTTTGACAAAATTCATCAAAATCACGAAAATTGGCAAATTATTTCAAGTCATAAATTTTTAAAAATAATTACTATTTATATCCAAGCTTTAAAAATGTAATACGAGATTCCCCTTAAGTTTTAATACATTTACCAAAAAAAAAAAAAATGTTTACTGGAAAAACAAATTACATATTTACGAGATTTCGAAGCTAAATATTTTATTTATTTATTTTTTTTATTCTTATTTATTCTTTAAGAAGATAATGGGCAACACTGATCATGTATATTTTGATTATCACCCATAATTCATAAATATTAACAAATTCTCATACAATTATTTTCTTATTTTGTTTTTATTAAAATACTATTGACTGTAGGTACTTGACATTTTCATACAATTTTAATTTTATAATTTTCTATACATAAAAAATGTTTGAAATATTTTGACTCGTTTTGAGTTATATAAACACATTTGAAATCTTAAATTCTTTTAGTTTTCTGTTCTATAAATCTCAATAAAATGTTATTCGTTTTGTCAAAAAGCTTGAAAATGTAATACAAGGTTTCTCATAAGTAGTTATGATAGTAATTAAAAAATATTTAAGATCCAAGATCGATTTCTTGATGAGTATTTAAAGTTTAAATTTTAACAAAATTGATCAAATTGAAAATTTACAAATTATTTAGTAGTTAAAAAATTATAAAATGTTCAATTTTTATAGCAAAGGATTAAAAATTTAAAACAGGGATTCTCATAAATAGTAAATACAGTAATCAAATAATATAAAAAAATATACACATTATTTATTACAGACATTTTAAGTTCAAAATTGGACGAAATTGGATGTAATTCAGAAGTAAACAACTGTCGATGATTTAAGTGTTCATAAAATATTTTATATCAGCATTAGTATGGGGGGGTTATGACACGATAAGGCATAAAACACCTTTTTAAGTCATGTTGACCAAATTTGGCGGCTTATCAAACGGTGTAGAATTACTATTATTGCAGGAACAAATCTAGTTTAGCCCCCCGCCCTCCCCGAAATTTAGATTTTTAGATTTTAGGAAAGCGAATCTAGTAGGTACATTGGTTAAAATTTTATTAATTTATTAAAAAAGCTTAAAAATTGAATAGAAGGCTCCCGGTATATTGTTTCAAAGGCAGATGAAAAATATTAAAAATCCTTGGTCACAGTTTTTTTTTGTAAGTATCTATTTAAAGTTCAAAAATTGACAAAATATGGAAATATCACAAAAATTGGAAAATTATTTTGAGTTAAGAGTTCGTAAAAATTTTTCTTTTTAAATCTGAGATTATAAAATGTATCACAAGATTACTCATAAGTTTGTCTACCATCATTAATAAAAAAATCTCTACCGGAAAGTCAAATTAAATTTTTATGATCGTTTGAAATTCAAATATTTACAACATTGGATATTCAGTCGATTTCTCATGTAGCGATTTCCTTATTTTGTTGTAATTCAAAAACGAATAATTGTAGATACATGAAAATTTCACTGGATGTTTATATTAGCATTTCCTATACACCATACAATTTTGAAAATATTTTGACTCTTTTTGAGCTGTGTACGGACATTTTCAGTTTCCAGTTTTTTTAGTTTTTTATTCTATAAATATCAATAAGGTTTTATCTGCTGGGCCAAAAAGTGTAAAACTTTAAGGGGCCTGCTCGCGATTTTTCAAATTTTCCGCAATTCTATAAAATTTGAAAATTAAATTTTATATTTTAGTTGCCACCTCAATTATAAGACTTTTCCACTAATCTACTACCCAATACCTATTTAGGGGGGGTTGATAGGGTGTATTATATTGGTCAAAACACAGTTTACAGGAAAAACTCTCACACCTCGTAGATTGGTCCGATTTCCGTAATTTTTTTTTGTTAGATAGAAAAATATTTTTTACAGGACGCATTGGACTTCGATTTTTGATTACGTCGCTAAAAACAAAAAATAATACAAAAACTAAAAAGTTGTAAAAATTGATTAAATTCAAACTTGTAACATAAGACTTAGAAAAATAATGTTGAAAATCCAAGTCCAATGCGCCCTGTAAGAAGTCTTCCTCTATCTAACAAAAAAAAATTACGGAAATCGGACCAATCTACGAGGCGTGAGAGTTTTTCCTGTAAGGCATGTTTTTGAGCAAAAAAACAGGTCGAGTGCAGGCCCCTTAATACAAGGCTTCTGATATATTGTTACAATATTAGTTGAAAAACATTAAAAATACATAGGCACAATTATTTCTTATAAGCATTTAAAGATCGAATTTTGACAAAATTTATCAAATTTAAAATTGAATAATTATTTTGTAGTTAAAAATTTATAAAATGTTCAACTTTTATATCTGAGGATTGAAAATTTAAAACAAGATTCCACGTAAGTAGTTAATTCTGTTACCAAAAAATCTAAAAATATATAAACACAGCTTATTTTTATAGTCATTTTAAGTTCAAATTTTGACGAAATTACATAATAAAAAATCTAGAATAACTATTTTATTTATTTTGTTGTGATTGTATAATATTATTCGTGGGTACTTGAAACTCCTAAAGTACACTATTATATATCTATGATATGTATCAGGGTTTGTTGGTGATGTATAACGCGTTATAAGTACCTAATGGATATTGTGATATGATTAATTTGGAATTTATTACCTATTATAGGTCAATTTTTTTTATACCATAGATAAGTATATAATATGTCTCATATCTGGACTGACATACCGTCCCCGCTCAGAATCGTTTTTCTTATACAATGATATTTTATCATTGAAATCAAATTTTATACCATCCATTATACAGTGACACAGTTGTAACCTACTGTACAACCTTTTTTTTTGAAACCTATGTATTTTTTCAAGTTTAGAACGATGGTGCAAAAATAAATTTGCTCAAATGATTATTTCGCACGTCATAGCCTACGTTTATACGTATGTGCGCGTAAAAAAAATGCATTTTTGTTGCATATTAAAATAGAACATAAATTGTTAAATGTATTTAATAAATTAAATAAAATGAATAATCACTAAAAATAAAAAAAAATATTTTTATTACAAATTATTTTATAATTTTGTTAGATTAAGAATATATTCTTATTAAATCGCTATTTTAACGCTCTTATAATGTGGGCAGTGAGTACACAGTTGGCGGCACTCGTCTCTGCGCTCCTGGGCGCCGTCGCCCCGCTCCGCAAATCGAAAATATTGTTGCTACGCAACACTACCTTAAGTAGGTTACACGGTAAGTTGAGATCAAGTATCACAGGGAGATGGTTCGAAGCCAAGATGAAGAAACCTAGGACTAGGAAGCATGATGCGGCAGAGGTTAATGCCAAGCTCCCCCCACCTCCTCGACCTCCTCGACCACCTCGGGGACAAACGTTGAAGAGAGTGAGGGCGAAACCAGATGCGGTACTGATCAAGGCAGTGAAAGCGGACGGCGATGATCCAACGACCTCTTACGCTACTATTGCTGCGAGGTTGAAGGAGAAAGTGGACCTCACCTCAATGGGGGTCACCATCGAAAGGACGAGGATGACTAAAGCTGGCAACTTGCTGCTTGAAGTAGGAGGCAAACAACCCGCCCCTATAGCACTGAGTGATGCAATCACGGCAGCTATAGGAAATCTAGGAGAAGCAAGTGTGCTCCAGCAAAAGGTAGCGGTTGAGTTCAGAGGTGTTGACGTAACGGCAAATGAGGATGACGTTCGTAATGCGCTGAGGGCTCGCAGCGGCGAGGAACCGTTCAGAATCGGAAAAATGAGAAGATCGCCTGGCGGACAGAAGCAGGTTGATGCACTCCTCTCACTGAGGGTGGCGGAAGCACTTCTTTTCGAGGGCAGAATGAAGATTGGCTGGAGTACCTGTAAGGTGCGCCTTAAGGAGCGCTCCAGTCGGTGCTACAGATGTCAAGGATTTGGACACTACGCTGCGAACTGCACTGGTCCAGATCGCACGAAGACGTGCATGAGATGCGGAGAAGATGGGCATATCGCAGTGAGGTGCAACAAGACTCCTTCATGCCCACTATGTAGAGACAATGGTTTCAAGATCGACCACATTTCGGGTGGCGAAGCTTGTGACAGCAGGAAGAATAAAAAACATTAGTTAAGTTACATTTTGTTGGCCGAAGGCCCCTCTAGGGTGGTTAGAAGCCCCCATTTTATGTAATTAAAATTTGTATTTTTTTTTGTGATATGATTGTTCAATAAACGATGCTGCTGGGAGGAAGTAATGCTCACGCGGTTCCCTCCCGGTCGGCGATTCAGAAGAAAAAAGAAAAAAAAAAAAAAAAAAAAAAAAAAAAAAAAAAAAAAAAAGGTTACACGGTAAGTTATGTCGTATTTATTTTTGCACTATCGTTCTAAACTCGTTTAAATACATGTTTCCGAAAAAAATAATTTAAAAATTCGTTATAAGAGCGTTAAATATAGCTTTGCGCGCATGAGTAAAACACCGAAAATCGTGAACTCTGGAAGTCTATAACTTCAAAACTAACCATTTCCGAAAATTCATTTTTGCACCATCTTTCTAAATTCGTCGAATTACATATAGGTTTCAAAACAAAAAAAATCGAAAATTCGAGGGTGTGCTAGATTTATACCTTATTGCAGAACATTGATTATTTTTACACCTCCATCTACCTATCTTTTTTTGTTCTAGGTTAGTATAAGTTTGGTATCATTAGAATTATTGGTGTAATAATATGTAAAAATTAAAAATAATTGATTAAAAAATTTTGTGTATATTTACTATTACTTTTAGATAAAAATATCAATATGTTATTTAACAACTTTTTCATGTAATAGGTATATTATTATCACAACAAAAACACTTCGTAGAACTCAGTGAAAAAAATTGTTGAGTAAAAAAATAAAACAGTCATTTATAAGATCTTTAAGCACTATAGATACTTTAAATCATTAATAAATACTAACTAAATTTAATTAAAGTATAGGTACACTTATTTTCTTTTAATGCTTTATTTACTTGGGGAGAAATTATATACTTATACGTATATTATTACACGAAATAACGTGAACAAAATTAATAAAAGGCATTAGAACTTCAGTATGGGGAATATTATTAATTTATACATTATTTTGTCAAAATAATTTCTGGTCAAGGAAATAAATAATGTGTATTATTATGATAAAGACGCCACTGTACTAAGTATTGTAGCTTTGTAACTAAATTGTTCACACCGGGTAGTGGTTTATATTATGATGGCAGTATAATACTATTATATTAGTGCTGTAATATGTTTAAACTTTATACTATCATACACAATTTCCAGCACTCCTGCACTCCCAATTCAAATGGTTCTTTATCCAGGGAGTATTGTAGTTTGATATTTCTTCGAAAATGTTTTTACAATTAAGTTTTTGTATTATTTTTAAAATAATAATATATACCTACTTATATGAAACTAAAATGAACTTAAACAGATAGGTATTAAAAATTATCATACATCAAGTATAACAAATACTTAAAAATAAACCCATTCTAAGTATAACAATAAAAAAATATGTTTCAACAGATTTATCGTTTTTATCACCTTGATTTCACCGTGGCTAGTAGATATCTTATGAATAATTGTAATACAACATATCCAAAAAAAATTTCCTTTAAAAAATTATGATAGGTACCTATAATAAATTTATTAGTACCAAATAAATCAAAATTTGTGTTTGACCTGCGAACTATAATCTTATCTTTGTTGTTTTTTTTACATCTACTTAAGCTTAAAGTGTTGTGTGCATTTTATATTATTATACGTTCACTTAGGTATGTAAGTAGGAAGGTAGGTTACACTTTGGAATTTGGATTTATATAAAAGTATTATAGGTGTGGCTTGGCGCGGCACGTTAGCTGCTATCAGTTACGTAATGTGACTGAAAGTAAGTAAAGTCCGCTCCTACTAGTTCCCGGATGGGTGACCACCTGGATTCGTAGTAGCAAAAACCTAGTCACACAGATACACATGTTGCTTACCTACCGTAACCATAATCCATAATCTCTACAATAGCTAATGGCCATAGTTGCCGGGCTCAAGTTAAAAAAAAAGCATAGGTATTACATATTTATTAATTACAAAAATCGTTTCTATTCTCTCGATTTCCATATAAATCATACCTAGGCTTTAAAAATATGTATTTATTTATATTGATATTCTATTATGTTAAAAATGTGTATTGCAAATTGTAATTATTTAATTTATGTAAACTATTTGATGAATTATACTTCAAATATTGTGAACTCATGGGCCCGCACACGAACATGTTCAATAGGGCCCATTATCATCTTGAATAATAAATAAAAATAAAAAATAATAATAAATCTAAATTTGAAATTGTAATTGATGGAAAATATGCATATATAATAAAAATTTTTTTTTATTAATTTCTAAAAAATATTAACATCGACAACAAAGGTCATTAGTTAGGTAGGTATATATATTATTATTATTATTATTATTATTATAACTTAAAAACTAGTATTATACTACTTGTTCAATGTGTAAAAAAGGTAATTAAATAATCAAAATAAATAAAGAAAATATAACGATATTATGTATAAGTATTCCTATATAAAAATGAAATGTTCTCCCTTCAGTGGTGGGGGTAACGTCAAACGCGACGGCTCGTATTCACAGCCGAGTCCGCGCGCCAGTATATATTAATATATTATCTATCTCAGTGTGTAGGAATGTAGGCACCCTACTTGGTAACTCTAACAATCACGATTGAAAACTATTAGGTACCTACATAATTATTAATTGTGAATTGTTATTAAGAGTGTGGACTTTACAGTATCTAGTTAGTAGTTGGTGCGTTTGCTTATTGGAATAATTAATAACCAACAGAATTTAGTAACGTTAAAATATTAAATAACAATAAGATTTTAAAAGACATAATTATTGTCAAATCTTAATGGTTTAACTTTCACAGGAGACTCAAACATGAAAAATAGTATAATCGGGAATTATATAAATTATATACAATTTTAGGTATATGTATGCTAAAAATAATATTAATATAATTAGGATAATAGATTAAAAATCAATAAAAAGATTTTTTGTTTTGACTAATTTGATATTTCAAGTAAAAAATAGGAGAAAACACCTTAAAATATACATGCATAATGTTATTCATTGTTGAGTGAAAAATGTATTTCTCCATATTATTGTACACTCTTATACAATAATAATTATGTACAGTATTTATTCATTAACTGTTGAAGTGCAGAACCCTCACTACATAAATCATTTATAAAAATAGTAGATAATGCAATTTGTTTTGTATACAATTTTTTATATAGGTATCATAATATTGTAGTAAATAAATTGAATAATATAACAAACTAGCTGAATATTCTGGCTTCGCCCGTGTGCATTTTTTTATTTTTTATTTTATCAAATCCTAGTATTACATGGTATATAGAATATATTTCTCAGTTTTAGTGTACCTTAGTTTACAGACAAATCGGCTTTAGTGGACTTAGCTTTGCAGTGCAATGATTTGACCTAGAATGGCAATACGGATTGGATTTGCACTTGGTATGTTTTTATCGTGGCTTAAACTACTTACTCTCTAAACTTTTCTAATATCTCTAAAACCGATATTTGAGACTTTCGTAAAATTCAATTGAGAATTTTTGAGTATACAATATACATATAAGGTAAGGACACACGTAGGTACATTTGGTTTTAAGATATAATTTCTTTATTCGAGTCCATAATTTTATGCATGCTTGTACCTGATCTGCCCTGGTAAACAATGGTAACCATGAAAAAACAAAAAAAAAAAATTAATTTCCACCGTGAATCTCAAGATCCCGTTTGACTAGGTACATCTTTAAAATACGAATATCGGAACATCCTTCCATCTAGATCATTAGAGAAATCACTATTCTAAATTCAAGTTTTTACGTTTTATAATTTTTGGGATGTATACCTATCGATAAATGAGATAGTGGTATTTGGCTTTTACAGTTTTATATAATATATATACCTATAATAATTATATAAAACTAGCTGATCCCGTGCACTTCGTTTCCCGTTAAATGTACCAACTCTATATGACTCAAACATTGTTCAATGCGTTATTTAATATTCGGTGTATGATGTTCTAGATTTATCTTAACTTTTCTGTTGCCCGGAATAAAAATTCTGAATTGCAGCAGTACATTATCACATAGGTAATTTACCTGCGGTAGATCGCGGACCCCGTGCTGTTTGTACGTAAGTGTATGATTTAACTAAAAAAGTACCAAAGTTATACCAAGTTTGACGTTTTTACTTAATTTCACCTACCTATAAATCCTAACCTAACCTAACCGTACTAAAATCCGTTGAATAAAAAAACCAAATTTAACCCTTTTTAAATTAGCGTATCTTCTTCCCATAGGTCTAATCTACACACCGTCATTCATTTATATATAAGATATATTTACAAAAAATAATAATACAAATCAACAAACATGCCCGATTAACCAATAGCAACCAATATAATATAATACACAATAGAGTAAATAAAGACAAAGGTATCGAGTTCAAATCCCAGACTTCAATAAATAGTTTTTGCAGTTTTTCTAATTATTCGGTTGACTTTTTAAAAATTTTCTTTCGTAAAAACCTTCCATTGGCAATCACAAACATTTAAAAAAAAAATTGAGCAAAATCGGCCCAGCCGTTCTCAACAAATGCAAATTCCGAATTTTTTGTCTCCATTTTTAGATATATAGATAGCTGATCCCGTGCAATTTGTTGCCCGTTAAATGTATCAACTGTATATGACTCAAACTTTGTTCAATTCGTTATTTAATATTCAGTGTATGATGTTCAAAATTTGTCTTACTTTTTCCGTTGCCAGGAATAAAAACCCCAGCAATACATTATCAGGTAGGCAATCTACCTGTGGTAGATCGCGGATCCCGCGCTGTTTGTACTCTAAAGAATCAAAGTTATACCAAGTTTGTCGCTTTTATTTAATTCCACCTAAGGTGGATTAATATAATCCATTTATTCAAAATTCTATCCTAACTTAACCGTACTAAAATCTGACGAATAAAAAAAAAACAAATTTAACCCTTATTTGTAAGTTAACCTATCTGCTTCCCAGAGGTCTAATCTACTCACAAACATTAAAATATATTGAAATATAATAATAAGTGTTCATTTTGAATTATTGTATATAAAAATAAGTGTTCATTTTGAATACATTTTATAACTCAAGATACACCAACTACAACTATACAGACTAAACTCTGGAACTACCTACTATATATATATATGTGCATATTGAAAAAAGATAATAATACAAATCAAAAAACATGCTCTATTAACCAATAGCAACCAATATATTATACACCAGTGGATTTTCCTAAAATTTCTTTTCAAATAAACTTTCCCCGTGGAATACTCTTTCGTTTAAAAAAAAAAATCAAGAAGATCTGATAAGTAGTTCCAGGGTTTAGCCTGTACAGAGATTTTCATTTCACATTTCAGCTATTGGTTTTACAATTGTGTTTATTTTTTTTTTTATATCCTGTAACTATACAAAATGTCCACCAGAAGGAGTGCTCAGATTTCAACATATAGTACCTTATCTTTTAGCAAATTATATCAAGATGGTACAATCGATTTTATCAATAGTTATTTAATGCCACCGGAAAAATCACTGAAAAATTACTAAAAATGGGATTTTAATTTGTAACGGTTTGTTTATCACCATAGAAACTAATAAAAAATAATAATATTATATTTTTGTTTTTGGCCATGTCGCCAGGTGTGCGAGGCCATAACTCCGAAACCACTTATCGCACAGTGTACAAACTTCACAGAAACCATCTACATATCAATCTTAATATGTCCTGAAATTTTTATCGAAATCGGGAAGGTGGATCTTGAGTTATAAAATTCATTCAAAATGTACACTTATTTTTATATATTTAGACGGACGAACCTATAGTAGGTACATTATTAAAAGTTAAGAAACAAAATATAATATATTATAATATAATATAATTTTATAAGATAGGTTATGCCTACCATTCTTTTAATAGAAAAACTTCAATATATTTGTCTACAAAGTATAATTGGAGATTAAGTCAAATGTACGAATACGCGATTTCTGAAAATAATAAAATATTAAGAGATTTGTAATCGATCTCATTTATCCGAGTAAATATATTGTGTATATGTGCCAATTTTAGAGATAAAACGTGTTCATTATAAAAAAATCTTTATTCTTATTACATCGTTATAGGTATACGTTTATAATATTTAGTTAGTATGTTACCGTACAGCCAGGGGCGGACCCAGGGGGGGGTTTGAGAGGTCAGCTGACCCACAGTTGTTTTCCCAGTTAAATGTGGCCCCTCGAAATGGCAAACTATATAAACATTTTTTTATTTGAAAAAATTATGTACAGTGGTGAATTTAGAGGAGAGGCACGTGCCCCTTGTCAATTTTCTGTCGACAAGTTGTTATGTAACATTTGTAACTACGAGTATCATATAAATGAAACATTCAGTTGATAAGGATAATACTACCAACTATTAATTATTACTTATTATAATCATTATTGATAGTATGTATATGTATTATTAATTAAAATTAAAATTATACAATTTATATGTGCCCCCCCCTTCAAAATATCGAAGATCTGCTATTATGATATAGGGGTATATCGTATATACAGCTGTGAAGACTGATGAGTATTGAAGTAAAATAACGCGTACGAAATCGTGTTTAAGCTTATCAACTTATAATGTACGTACCTAAAATTCGATAAACACAAGTATAAAAATATGTTGGATATAGATATTATATAAGATTTTATGAAGTTGACATAGATGAAATTGATATAGAAGTGGAATACCGTTCATTACCTCTAGTTTACCAACAAATGGCAAAACTATTGAAACTGGAGTAACTGGACCTTTAAAATTAAATGATGTATTGAAAATTCATGATATCACGATACATGGTTTCTTCATATCCAAATTTATATACTTTGTATACAATTTTTTATACGCTACCAGTCAGCAGTGCAACTGCAGAAAGAAGTTTTAGTGTTCTAAAACTTCTCAAAACATGCCTTAGCTCAACTATGACTGAAGACCAGCTATCAAATTTGGCCATATTGAGCATAGAAAGCAACATACCTCAAACCATTGATTTTGTTAACGTAATAAGTACATAATTCGCACTAATGAAAAAGCGCAGAAAATGATTGTAATGTTCTAGTTCTTTACTATTATTTTCATGTAGGTATTACAGTAGAATCCGCTTATTTGGGACACCGCATAAAGGGGAAAACCGCTTAATGGGGACAAATTGTCATAGTCCCGAACCGATGTATAAGTTAAATGCAATTTAACTTCGTTTATCCGGGACAAACCATCGGTTATAAGGGACAAAAATAAAATTGTTTAACTAGATATTTTGGCCAAAATTATCTACTTTCTTATCGAAACTGTAATTATCTAATCTTTACGGCTCTATTATATTTTATATACACACGTATATGTACATATAATGTACATACAGGTAATATACGTATATCTTACGTCAATTATGTCAATCATTTTTTTTTCTATTACCACGATAAGAGTCAACTAGCCTACGTACAAAATCGAAAACCTTTAGTTCACGTTCTTTCGTCGATGTCTATTAATGTAGGTATGTGCGTTTTTATTAATCCCAGTTTGTGTTAGTACGTAACAATATTATGTCTCGTAAAGATTTAACATTGATTGAAAAAATGTCTATACTGGATAAAATTAAGGCTCAACCTTATAATAGTCTTCGTGAGTTAGAGAAATCAATAGGCACGTCTAAATCGGTACTAAACCGATTGAAAAATAATGAAATATAATAATAATACTAAATAGTAAATATGTATAATGTACAACTGCTAATAATACATATGTAATTTTTAAATAAAGTATTAATTAAGTGTGTATGTATGTATTTTTTAAATAAAGTTATTATGTATGTATATATGCACTTTAATAATTTCGGTTTATTAGTTATTCGGTTAATCGGGACAGTCGGATAATGGGGACAAATAGGTCACCGCCCGATGTGTCCCAATTAAGCGGATTCTACTGTATTAAATATAAATTTTATTAATGTATTATTTTTGACTTTTCTATTGTATTAGAATTTAGAACCACCTATTCTATATCTCTTGTGAAAATGAAATCAGTCATTGAAAACTAAAATAAAATAAATATACTGCAAATATACGTAAACAAATAAAAATAAATTAAATATAGCTATTAAAGCTTGTAAGTAAATTTTACAATTTACTTAAAAATATTTGATATAGTTATATTGAACGTTGGTATCAAAATGTGATGTAAATAACTAATAAGGTAAATCGCGAGCCCAGAGTGACTTTGTAATACCTAACTATATAGTTGGTTGAAGTTTCTACACAGTGGCCCCTCGTAAGTAAGGCGGACCCACAGTTCTAAAATCCTGGGTACGCCACTGCGTACAGCTGATTATAATACCAACAATCTCCATCCTTTTATTGCTTTTTTTTCTCGGATGTCGAAATAGAAATTGACTGTGTTTGTTTCACAAGACACACACTGCTATTCAACATAGTCGTTTCAAATTGAATATATTCTTGTATAAAAAAAAAATGTAAATATTTCATAATATACTCAATGGAATGGCGAATGCTCAGTGCCCACTACAGCGGTTAAGCGTCAATCGTGTATGATCCATCAAGAGACATTTTTGAACATTGTGAAGATAAAACACAGCACTTATCATACAAATATTACTAAATATTTAAATTTATTGAACATTATTATTGTTTAATAAAAAATAAAAATTTAAATATTTGATTTTTAAAGCTCCGTTGAAAATGAATAATATTATATTTGATATTTCTCATAATTTGCATAATACATATAATATATTAGTACATTTATTATGTTAGATACAATATAGGAAGATCGTAAATGGATTTATTACCTTGGTATCAAATTATTATTTTTGTGTAGGGGTATAACGAGGTATTTTATAATAATCGTTTAATGAAGAGTAAAAATATCGCAAAAACATTTCAGTGTCCTGCACAAATAAAATATTATTGTAAAATAAGTTTTGTGTTAAATATCGTTTTTAACAGTTTTTAGGTGGCAGAAATGTAATATAAACATCTATGTACAGACTACCGATGGATTACGATGTTCAACTATTATAGGTAGTAGGTAGATATAATATAATAAATTATAATAAATTTACGTTTCGTGTAGTAAGGCTGGCGAAGATACGACCGTCATTGATTAATCTGACCTGAGCAACGGTGTATAAGTTTATTATTGTTACCGCTATTCGTGTTTACCTATTATAATTTATAATAATATATTATGTACATGTCTTGTAGAAGTTATATAATATGTAATGGAAAGACGTTCATGGTTTCATCGAAATGTCGAACAGTTATACAATACAGTCGACACGATATTATATCGAATATTAAAAATTATCCTCCAAACGCCATAACACGGCGGTTGATTGGTTTTTGATACATCGAAGTTTTTTAACAACTCGAACTTTTACCCCCTCAAACTTAGAGTGATTGAGAGCCGACTGTATTATTGGGGTGTTTGTTATTATCATTGCTTTTTTTTCTCCACTGTTGGCGGCGAGGTGATATTTCGGCTGCGGCGACAACACCGGCCAAACACGCAGCAGAGCATTTTTTTGGTCGTCCACGCCATAAGTACGACCACGAACGACACCAGCAACAGGACGTCCAACAGCATGTACTGGAACCAATAAAGGTCGTTGGCAGCAGTCCGCAGGTGTTTCGCACCGCCGTGCCTGGCAACGTACTCGACCCAAAACACAGCGTTTTCCAGCGGTGGCAGCGGGTTGTCCCTGAACACAGCCGACGTCTTTCTGGAATTTTCCCGGTACCTGCAATGTCGTATAAACGGTGAGTCGTGAGTATAATATTATACTTTAATTACAGAATATGGTATTCCTAGCATAATAATATTATTATAGTATATCGTGTAACTATTATAAGCTAATCATTATGTGCCACACACGTTCGTTTTGTTTTTGAATCCCCGAAATCATATTTTTATTATTATCACATTTACAGGCTATAGGCTAAATCATTAAAGACGCGTTGCGTTTTTCACAATAATTTTCAAGCAATTCTAAAAATTACCTTTAAAACCTTATATTTTATCGTTTATTATTCACACATATATTTGAGTTTTTTTTTAGAAGAAAAATGAGATTTTCTATGACCAAAAATGTATTTCCAAAAAGATAAATAGCTATTTTAAACTAGGTTAACTATTTTTAGATAATACAATGTAGTTAATTCTGCCATTAGTTAATCTTAATACTATAGAATATACTGGTTTATTATAAATGTTAAGTTATTAATACCTTACCTATGTCCAAGCTTCAAGGTTCAATAATACAAAAAATATATTGTGTAAATTGCGTAGGTATTTTACCAATTTACTATAATTATAAATTTAAGTATCCACTATCAGTATTGAATTGATACATTCAGTATTAAACCTTAGTTAGAATTCTAAACAAATAAAACTTTTTAAATATATTATTTCTCAATATAATAGATAGAAAAGTTAGAAAACGATCTACTCTTTTACAGTACATATACCTACGTAGTACACTAGTACGTAGGTATATATTATAAATGCATGTTATACCTACTATACAAGTATTCTGTATACAATGTAAAGATCTTATTAAATTAAAATAAAAAAGGCTATATAATATTTAAATAATTCGAAGCGTATAGAAACCGAAAACTATATTCATGTCATAAAATACTAAAATAAATGATATGAAGTGGTTTCTAAGTTAGGTATTTAAGAAGTAAAAATAAAGTTTAACTTTGAAATTAACTTGCATCTTCTCAAAAATAATATGGGGAAGTTTTTCATTATCTATATCAACTTAGACATGCAGTGTTCTTGAAAAATTAAAATAGAATACCTACGACTTACCTATTAATTTTCAAAATAATATTTGTGACGAATTCCTATTCGATCATATCAAGTTTTTTTTTAACATACCTTTACCCAAAACTTAAACTATAAGCAAACCCACACATCTTACGATTCGAATCATGCACGTCAAATCCGTATAAATAATTTCGAAAACATTCAAACAATTGGTAAATAAAATAAATGGTAAATGAAACGAAATCGAAACGGCGAGCGATAATGAGACACATCGCGCGACGACGTGACATTATATTAATATTAATTACGCGACCGTTTACGGGGTTAACAGTCAACACCAATCAAAATGGTTGGTGACAAGACTGATGGTATAGGTACCTATAAATAATACATGGTAATGATGGACGATGGCATGAACAATGGCGATCATATTTCAATATTATTATATTAGATTATAATATATACTATAGTATAACTAGTTAGAAGAGCGTATATTGAAGGTGGGTTTTATATATAGGGTTTGAAATAGGTTGGGGATTGATTCCCTCCTCTTTGTGTTACATGTACTTAATAAATGAATATGTCCGGAGTCGGCGAATGCTCACATATCAAATAAACATTATCACACATACAATGTATTCAACGATACGACGGTGTTGAGGACGCATTTCAAATTTGAATAAATTTTTATGTAGGTACATATATTTGTCTTGTTTGGTCACGAAAAACGTACTTTTTATGCCATAAATGGTAGGTATGGTTTATATTTTTGATAAATTATTATACTTTTCCCTAGTTAATTAATGATTATATTTAATACCTTAATAAATGCCATCGTCTTGGATTATGAAAAATATGTTTGAAACTGTCATGGATATATGCTTACTTATTTGTACATGGTATTATGCACACTGTATAGGTACTCACGTCGGGTCGATGAGGAGCTTGTGTAGGGCACTGCCAAACGCCTCGTGCGTCAAGTCGAAGTATGGTACTTGAATAGCTATGCCTCTATACTGTGCGCGTAGTGAGTTACCCAGCTGGTCGCCAAAAACGGGAATGGCCAACATGGGCACCCCATGGTAGATGGACTCAGTGGTACTTTGTACTCCACCGTGGGTGATGAATAACTTGCAGTTCTTATGACCTAAACAAACATTTTATTATTCAGAAGAAATACAGTTTGCCGAAAATAGAAAATCCTGTCATTTTTGGGAATTAAACAATGAATGCCTACATATTTTTCTTCTACGTACTTGTTTTACAAACATTTTTAATCGAATTAGCATTCTAATAAGGATAATTTTTGTATTAAACATTATCACTTCGTAGATATCGTAATACCATGTAACCGAAACACTGGGCTGCAGCATGCAGTGCTCAATTTAATATACGTAATACTTAAAATCAATAGTATCTAATAGATAGGTTAGCCATAGCTAACTAATAGGTATAATACCCATTGGCCATTATTATTTTACTACGTATTATTTTGACAACACAGCATTAAGATAAAACTTAAATAATATTATATTTAAATTATTTCAACGTTGTGCACATAACTTGGGAACTATCTCTAAACACTTCCCTATTTTCAAATTTTCCAGTAACCTAAAACTATGAATAGTAGTCATTGATAATATTATAATATAAAATATAGATCATTTATTTTTATTTTCACAGTTCATTGTTTTGAAAAGTCTCAACCTGTAGTGCCACGAGCGGTTACGTGATTATATATTCATGTTATCTATTTTCCGGTGTTAAAGTCTAATGGAACCTACCTCTCTTTCCTTCGAATGCACTATATAATTTAAACGTTATTTTGTCGAATAACAATTATAGTTTATCTTAGTACACATTAAATAGTTTAAAAATATAAAAGTAATACAATGCATCAATAATTATTAAACGAGAGCGTATTCTAAACATTCAATTATGTGTTTTTTTAAACATTTAAGTGTGGGATATTTTTTTAATACATTCGTTATTGTTTGTGGCTATAGTTTATTAAATTTGTTTATTTGTATCTACATAATCTGCAGTCATTGATACTAATGTGTTAGTACTATATACATAACATAAATTATGCGTATTTGTAACTTGATTGTGTATAATACACTATCATTTATCATATTATACTTATTATAGTACATATTATATTTAGTATATGAGGGGACATTTCAAAACGTACTATTTTCAAAATTGAAAACATTTAGTTATACATGGTTTCATATGTAAAAATGGACGAGGAATCGAATAGTGTGGTCAAATTGAACCAAAACGTTCTATTTCCCTTGTTAACATCAATCTGAAACTCATAAATGGCGCATAACGCACTATTTCCAAAGGCAAAATTTGTCTAAATGCACTATTTCCAAAATTATGTTAAAGCGTAGTATTTCCCATGTTAAATAGTTTGTTCATTTGACAAATTGACGCAAAACATACCCATTACTCAAATTGTACAAAACGTACTATTTCCAAAGTAGGCCATATTGTACTATTTCCCATAGGATGAAGATAGGGAATATAATTGAGTGAAAACATAACGTACTATTTCCACTGGTAAAAACTAAAAACTGGCCGCCTAAAAATGTCGCCCCTCATATATATTATTTATCAAAATATAATAGTACCTACATATAAGTAATAACTAATAAGTACACTCAGTACACACAATTAATGCAACTCAGATTTTAAAGCTGCACTTATCAATTTATATTTGATAATTTAAAGTTTAAACAGTATAAAATATATTTATTATAATTATATTTATATTTTGTTATACTGTCAATTTAATTGCTTAAAAAAAGACCTTACTCTGTACTTTATTAAAAAAGGCATTTATTAACTAGGTAGCAAATGAAATTAATTAGTTTTAATATTGGAACAAATTAATTTTACCTATATTTATGTACAATATCTACAAACTATAAAATAATGAAACGTCACAATAGCTTCTTTTTGGAAAAACTGACCCCTACATCTATTTCTGTTGATTTATTTACGGCATTTGTTACATAGCATCAGAAATCAGTAGGTTTCATCCTACTTACCAAGCTCTTACGACGCTGAACAAGCAGTCATATTAATACTAACTACGATAAGTACGTACCTAGTATGTCATTTTGGGGAAACCATTTCCGAACGATGACATTCTTGGGTAGTTGCGGGATATCGTCAGTTTCCCATTTCCACAGGACAGTCTGTTCGATTTTCGAGAGTTCAGACAGTAAGAGCGATACTGTTTCCATGGGCATTTTGGACGATTTTACCACCGATCCCAAACTGAAGTAGACTACACCTTCCTTAGCACTTTCCACTATTTGTTTTAGGTCCTGTAAAGCGCACCCAAAAATAAGATATGAACTTTCGAAGGTGCGAAAGAAAATCGACATGGAATTATATTATATTATATGATGTGCAGCCAAACGCTCGTGCAAACAACACTATATTATATATCTGACGATTACTGGAAAATACCTACACATAAACTATAACCTAGGTACTCTTACAAACCTTGGATGGTATTTACCGAAATCAGTGGCGTATATAGGGGGTGGGCACAGTGGGCTACAGCCCCCTCGAAATTACAGTCTTTTTCAATTAAACAACAATATATTTTATTAGTTACTATTATAAGTTATAATAATTCATAGCCTGTTGAAAAATAACAAATACGAATATATTTATAGAAACTATTAAATATATAGTAGACAGTAGCCTCTTAGTAATAGACCACTAGCTAGTTTCTGTATACTATAGCCCACCCCAAAAATTTTTTCTATATACGCCGCTGACTGAAATCAGAACTTCATTGTTTAGATTTTAGATTCTTTTGAAAAAACTGAACACAGAATCTTAAATCTTACAAAAAGTAAGTGGCCCATGTATTGGACGAAATTGTTGATGTTTTCAACCATTTTTCTACTAAAATTAGGATAGAAAAAGAGGTGTGGATGTCGATGGTGCGTGCTATGCTCGGGCTACAGTACAATATTATCATCATAGCATTACTTCAGGCAGTGGTCCGGCGGGAACGCAGTGCATGCCAGCCACGTTCACGAAGCTGGGCACCATCGGCACGGCTGTACCAATGACCGGGTGACTGTTGACCAGTGTCAGCGACACGTTCCGGAGCATGTCTACGAGGTCGGGACGGCGCTCGTGGCCCGGGTACACAAAGTGCTTGTCGGCCACGGCCCGTTGCCGGGGCAGGTATACTAGCCGAGAGACTGCAGTGTAGAAGAACGCGGACACTGCGTTGCTGGTACGCTGCGCGAACGTCATATTCGATCCGAACCTACTGGTCAGGTCCGGAATGTAGGCTGGGTTGTACGGGTTGCTGTGCCACTGCGACACCCTGGAGTTGGAGGAGAATGGCAGCATCTGCACCACTGGGGCTCCGTATTTGTGCCCGATGGACACGAAACACTCGTGGTAGAAGTTCTCGAACAGCACCAAGTCAAACGATGACCGGTCGCTCCTGATGAAGTTCGCCACCGATGGTTTGTCCACACTTGTCTCGCTAATGTGCGGCCCGAACCACCATAAGTGCAACGGCGTGGGTATGAGGTTCACATATTTTGCCACTTTTAGCATGTCGAAATCTTGAAAATAAAAGATACGAAAAATAATCAATCGTTGTAAACATAAAGGTTGGTGAACTTTTGTCTGGATAATAATATTATATTATTCAAAAAAAATTTTATTTAGATACGATTTCTTTGCTCCTAACTCAATTTCACTTGATATATTTTATAATATATTTTTTTGTCAGGTGATTCCATCTAAGCCCACACCATCGCTACCCAAATTCTTAATTAATACATTATTTAATAATGTACCAATTTTTATTTTAAGTGTTTACACTTGTTTACTTTTTTTCCTCTTATACATTCTCTGTTTTCAATTCCGTACTTACCTACTGTTTTAAATTGTACACCTCATCATCTGCTGCATTCCGTCAAATAAATAAATGAACAATTATACAATTTTTCAAAAAATAATTGTCACTATTATTTACATATGATATAAAATATAAATCATTGTATACAAAATGCTTATAGTGTATAGATACGTTTAATAGGTTTTCAGATTTTCTACTTAACTGTGTTTGTTTTTTTGAAAGAAAAAACTCATAAGCACATTACTATAGGTATCTTAAACAGTACAGAATAAAATACATAGATATTTTTCAAAATATTACCTCCTAACGTTTGCTCCACTTTGACGTGACGATACGGCCGTTTAGCGCCGTCCAACGCAAACGGTGCGACAAGAGTGACATTATGTCCTCTGGAAACAAGAGTTTCGAGTAACGGTTTAAAGCCCATGAAATGACTTTTACCTTCGGTCGGCAAAAACGCCAATATACTCAAAGGTTTCGCCGTTAGCTTCACTCCCTCGCTGGACGATCTTTCAGCAAACAACAACAACGTTAACAACGTCAATAGTTGCATCTAAAAATTAAGTAGATAAATAATAATATTAATAATAATAATAGGAAATACGAATATAAGCAAATATCTATACCAAAGCAAAGTTATACTGTGATTCATCTCGTACACAAACATGGTATATTGCATGAACGATGTGCATTTTTTATAATATACAATTATATATTACACAAACACACGATAATATAGATATGGTCGTATGGAATTATCGTACTCAACTATTTTATACAAAAAACAAAAGTTTTATGATAAATGTACGTTAAAATTGTTATTTATTAGGTGGTCATTGGTCATAATTCATTAATATTATAATTAATTTACTCTCGATTATCATTCGTTACTATTTTGTTAATTTTAAATACAAAATATCTAAAAGTCAAAACATTAACTGTGGAACACTAAACTTTCTGTTTATTTTATTGGTAAATTTTATGGCATTTTCATGACTGCATGATCAATGTTTATGTAATTTGCATATTTTTTAAAACAAAAGAATTTTGAATATTACAACTGTCTGAATGATAAAATCTAAGTATATAATATATATTATAAAAGCACTGTCGAACCCCTTGAGATATCGAGATATCGAGTTCTAGAAATTCGACTGTATAATGCATTGTCGGTAGGTAGGTATAATACAAAAATCAATAATTATACTATAGATTAATACACGTACCTATAATACTAGCTACGACTTATAAAAATAGTATAATAATACAACGCAAAAAATAAAACATTGTATTTTTACATTTCTACATTATACTGTATTATATAATATTGCCTATATCACTAATATAATATTGTGAAACCTTGAAAAATAATCGAAAATCAGATTACAAGTATTTAAATATTTCCATATTTACTAACAGATTGTGAATAGTTACCGATGGTAATTTATTGCCAATTGGTATTTACTTAAAATACTTAAAAATATGTTTTTTTTTCAAGTTTTTTATAAGTATCCTTTTTATAAACTTAAGTATTTTGGCAAAATTTAAATAACTGACCACCATTTAAAGGTCATCTTTTTAAGACTGAAATCTTCTTACAATGAAAAATAACCACAGTTCCGTATAATCTCTAGCCCGTATAATTTTTTGTCTTCCTATAATGGAAATTACTTTATGACGAAGAAATCGGTTGGTACCTAGTTATTCCGTTATATGGAGGTTTTCCTGTACTTACTAAAACCTTTAACGTACAAATACATAGATAGTACATTTAAACTGATAATGTATGTAAATGATATTGTAGAATATTTTTTATGTCACCACATTTAATTGTAAAATAATATGAAACAAACAAGATACGAGTATTTTAATTTATTTGATTTTAACACAGAATGCTCATTAAACGCAACTTCGTAATATTTAAAATTATATGAATTAGTTTGAAATAGTGTGTTGTGTGTAAACGTAATCAATGTGGTGACTACATTAACGAGGTACTTATACCTAATACCTATATTATACGTTTTTACTATTCATGGAGGTACCAATACGTTTTTTCGAAAGTATATTTAGAACACATATATAATTATTTATCGAACGCATACACAAGCAATGAGGTATTTAATAACTTTTTGTTAAACAAATATATAGGTAGTAGGTACTTACGGTATTGCAGAATGCTGTTGAAAGAGCAAACGTTCTCATCGTTCGTCTGTTGCCCTAAACAACAATACGAGATAAACGAAACTGCGGACGTCAGCCGGTTATAATAGCCGATGGAATACTGATCTAACAACTACTAACAACTTCTAACAGTACCGAATGACCGTCATGTTACGTAACGGCGGCTATAATAGAGTATGGTAATAACTAATAACAGTGGGAGTAAAAATCTTAATAAAATCGCGCGCATATCATATTATTATTATTACAGAATACAGATGGTTATTAAAAATCCCCAACCATCTGATAAAGCTTACAATTTTATTTTAGATTGATCCAATGTACCTACAAACTATTGTGAAAAGTAATAAGTTCCAAGCAATCTTTAATTTTGTATACAATATTATTAAAAAATCTAATGTACCATCTATACCAACATATTGTTCATAAACATTTGAATAATTTCACGAACACTCAATACTAATTTTTTCTAGAGTAGGGCAATTTCTTATTAAAAACAATTAAATAGATCATTAATTATAATCTGTTTAATTAAAAACGATGAGTAAATCTGATGATTATAAGAAAAAAACAAATATGACGTGATAGAATTATCCTACTATACCCTACTACAAAAAAATCAAATTTAAGTATATTTTAAGTATGCAAATCATTTTACAGATATATACCAAGTCCAATATTCGATATGCATAATAATAGAATATTTCAAATAAATTAAAGTATCTGTAATCTGTTACCTTATGTAACACCATTGATTATAATATAATGGCAACGCAAAAAAAAATTTGTAAATCTAAACTTTATGCAGTGTGTCCCTTAAGGATATATCCATTAGCCGTAGGGGGGGGGAGGCTCGCCGCTAAGACAAAAACTGGTTTGCTGTTATACCTATAAACTAAATAAATGATAGGAATTCATGAGATTAATGAAAATAAAATGTTGGAAGGTCAACATTTTCATAAAATTAAAACTCTATAAAATAACTCTTCAATTGTTTCAAAAATGAAAAAGTTAAAAATTACATTTCTTAACTTTTTTACTAAAAAAATTGAATTTAGTTAAAAAATAAAATATATGTAGTTCTTGTCTCTGCAAGTCTAATAAAAAAAAATAGATTTATTATAAATGTATTATCTCGGGAGATATCTTAATGGGTAAATCATCGTGGGACACTGTATGTATTTTATACTTAATACTTATATTTATTTAATGTACGTATCTACTTTTATACTACCTAGGTACTTACTAAAAAAAATGTTTATATAAAGATTATAAAACTGCAATTTAATAAAAATTAATAAGACATTGATAATATGAAATGATAACAATTTATACGATTGAGTTTAGATAGTAGGTGATTTATTTTTTGTGTATGTGTGTGCGGAATGTTACTTAAAAATTTTAATTTATTTAAATTGTACATACCTATAGGTATGTACAAATAAATGCACATTAAGTAATGTTGTCACACAATTAAGAGTGTACCTACTCAAATTAGTATCAGGATAAAAAAATCCTAATCACCTGTTATCATTAATGCAAATTTGTGGTAGTATTATTATTATAGTTTTAAAAGGTTAGGTATTGCTGTATAATATTATGGCCGGAGGCTAGGGCTAGGATTTTATAGTAAGTACTGAGAAGTAGGTAGGTACCTATAGTATTGAAAAATACGCAATAATATCAACTAAAACAATCTTTGAATATGAGCTACGAGTTACGACTAATATACCCTACAAACATAAAGTACTTGTTTAATTTTTTTTTATATAGATTAATAAAAGATAATAAAGAATTTGAATTAAGACATAGATTCAACGCGATGAAATAGGTATTTTTACTATCTATTCTTATAATTTGTTTCTATTGTTTTAAATAAAAAACAAAACATATGAAAAACATAAATGTAATATAAATTTAATGCATATTATAGTAAATATAAAAACTCCAAACTTAGAAAAAAGCAACTTGTAAATTGTAAATACCTAACATAAAACGGAATTATTTTTTCAAATTCAACCCCACATTTCCTACCAAATAAATACAATACCGGCGTGTACATCACTATATAGGTATTTGTGACAATATCTAAATATTATAGGTAGGTTGTACCGCACATGTTATACAGGTATAGCATTTTCAATAATATAATATATATTTTTAATAATAAAATAGCCTATATGTAAGTATAAATTGTGGTGTGGTACTATCTATGGTTTCAATTGTCAGTTTTCAACATCTATACTGAAAACAGTAAACAAAGAATATATGCAATGTAGGTACAGAGACTTATTGCAATGTTATAGTACTGTACTTAAATAGTAACGAAAAAGCGAAAAACGTTCCAAAGTAATCCGGTAGATCTCACTACATAACTATTATAAAAGTTAAACAGTTTTGTGTGCTCTATCGATGAGATTTTGATAATACTATAATAGAATACAATTATTACACTATATATTTATGTAACGTAGGTATATCGTATATGTACTTATTTATTTTCAACGGATTGAGTTGACATGGATGCTCGGTTCAAGTCTGGTTTCATCACAGCTATATGTAATAGGTACATATAAATAATATAATATAATATAATAATATATTATCTCCTGTGGCACCGATCTATATTTCATGGTAAGGAGAAAAATCCAGGTGTTAGACCCACCTATACTTAAAAAAAATGTTTATCTACTCTCGAATAGTGCATTATAATCGCGATATACAGCAGCCTGGTGACCTGCCATACACATATTGTTATTGCCTATTCTTTACACTCACCAGTCACCATAATTATTAAATTATGTTTAAATATTAAATACGCCTTAATGACTTATCAGTGATTACCCACCCACCCACCTGACCCAACCATAAATAGTTCTGGGGAATTTTCCTTAGTAGATTATTAGAAGGTCAGTGGCGGTAGCTGGAATTATGGAACCTTACTGTGGAACTCGGGGACTGTTCGAAAAGTGGTCGGATATTTTATCGGCAATATCTACCGAGGTTCTAAACAATCCCGATTGTCCGCTGACCCTACACTCTGACCACGGTATAGACACGGTAAAGTCAACCGCCGACCAAATCGTTTGCAGGTCATATTTATCGTCGGTCAGTTAGCACTTCAGAAGCCATCGTGTTGTATGAATTGGCCTTTTTACCTATACGTTTCGATCGCTTCAATGTTTTTTTTTTTTGCTTTTCGAGCCCTTTTTATAGTGTTGCTCAGAGCTACGAAATCCGGTAAATAATATTGATCATAAGTGCCGTCATTTCCGTTTTTCTTAGGGCAAGTCAACATTTTCAACGGCTTATTTGTTTAAAATAATGGGTAGGTATATTAAAATACCACGCGCTACGCTCGCAAATTTGCCTATAGCTACAACTAAATTCCACAGAAAAATAAAATTATTTAACACTTAATTTATAGCCACAGTCAAATTATTACAACAAACAACTACTATAATAGCTTAAAATAAATTAATTTAATTCGGACAATACCTGGTAATTTCGTTAGTTAAGATTCGGTAAGAATTTAAACTTTCTATGATTATTAATTCTTAATTACAGTAATTTAACAATTTTTTTTTTAATTTTTTAAGAGTTTTATCTTACGTTTAAGGAAATTAAGGGTTGCATTGAAATACTATACATTTAGCTGGGATTAAAACTGCACACTATTTTTAATCTACAGACCAGATGTATCATAAACGTCAAAAACTTTTACTAAGCTTCCCAAAAAGTTTGGTAAAAGCACTCAATTTTGTTTTAAATTATGATATTCTTATAAGCTGAAGTGAAAAAATGACTTATGTTTAAAAAGAATATGAAATTGTAAAACATGTACAAAAATATTGAACTCTTATAATCTTGTGTAATTATTGTGACGAGTATAGGTACCCATATACTTGTTGACCGTAATTCATTCTAATAATAATATATTTTACATTTAAATATATATAAATATTTAAGGAGTTAAAGTGAGTGGTTTTGTCTTGTATTTATTCTAAATTGTATAATTTTTATGATGTATATACATCTACTTAGTATATACTAGTATATACTTTGAATTATTTACTTGATTCGATTATCGATCTCGATGTAGTTCACTACATGACATTATCTAGATTTTAGTTAGAATTTTTGTACTCAAAATACTTTTTATACACTTATAAAATAAATACATTTCTCACTCATAACAAAATCTAAAAGTGTTTTTAAGCGAGCTGAAAGTTGTACATAAAAGCTCAATAACAATATACATCGTATATGTATGATGTGTAGGTAGGTATATTATTATGAATTGAACAAAATAAAAACTTAATCAAACTTATATTGAACCAGGCTGCAAAATTGTATTTCAAAATATTGTATATGTATTAGGTACTTACTAACGGAACTGACTTTATAGTTTTAGAAAGGTCTGAATGGTATATTTTTATAGTTTAGGTCAAGGCCGAGATAAGGTATCGTAAGGCGGACAATTGAGTGTCACTCTGCTGTACAGACGTACAGTAGGTTACAAGTGGGTGACAATAATGGATGCTGTTAAATTTGAATTCAATGATATAATATCATTGTATAAGAAAAACGATTCTGAGCGAAAACGGTCAGTCAGCCTATGATATTACTAAGTATATTTGATGATATTATTGTGAATAAAGTAATTTATATATGACATATTTACGCGGAACCTTGTTTTAAATTTTTAATCCTTAGCTATAAAATTTGAAAATTTATACATTTTTAACTAAAAATCTTTATTTAATTATAAATTTGACATATTCTGTCAAAATCCAAATTTTAAATGTTTATAAAAAAAAATTGTGAATATGTTTTTTCAATGTTTTTCAACTGCTATAGTAACAATATACCAGGCAACGCTTTGCATTAACTTTTCAAGCTTTTTTACAGAACAAATACATTTTCATTGATTTTTATAGAAAAAAAAACTAAAAAAATGAAAACTGACGTAGTCCGTAAAAAGCTCAAAAAGAGTCAAAATATTTTCAAAATTGTATGGT